CTTTCGAAATCGTATAGTGTGTCTCCGCTTTAACTTTATCTCCATTTCCCGATCCTTCTCCGTCTTTTGGTGATCATTCTTTTAGGCTTTATGAGGTCACGGTAGAGCATCTAAATCGCCGATGCTAAAAACTTGATTTTCGTGATGATACTAAAATAACTTCGATTGGAAGTTACCATTTTCGATATCGATTGTTATTGTCAGACTTTCAACATTATGTTGATTGATTGGTACCAATTGGGAGTCTAAATGGTATCAAATATTTGACAAATAGCAAGAACCTATAATTTGCAACATGTAGTAAAGGTTTAAGATCTGGGTACCCTAGTTATAATGAAGTAATTATATACTTATAATATCTAAAGATTTGGTTTGCTTCTCCAATTGTATGTATGTATATATTCATTCCTTAAAAGGGACAATTGGTGTTAATGCATAAATAATATATAAATTATTTTTTCACTATAGTTCTTATATTATTTATTTTTTTAATAATTTTGATCTCCGTAATTTTTAAAAATTTTTAATTCAGAAATATCACGTGAATTCAAGTTAAACACGTATTGTATTATGATTTAATCAATGTTTATATTAGACGTTATGTATCTTATGACACGAAATCTGATATTTAATAAAATTTAATTATTTTTAATAAATAATAACTTAACTTATAACACCAACTCTGACTTAATTGACGATTGCTAAAATTGTTGTCTGTGAGTGAAATATTTTTTTTTTTAAATTTTCATTAAACACTTCAACATTTAATATGGATACTGATACAATCAAACTGTAACAAATATTTAATTTAAATTTACGTTATTCTATCACGAACGATATTAATATATATTAATGAGAGGTTAAATAATTTTTTTTTAAAAATAAAATAATTACAAGTGTAAAAAATAGTATAAAAATTAATTAAAATATTTTAAAATAATGTATTAAAAATTGGGTAAAGATAATTTTTTTCAATAAAATTATTGTGCAATGTAATTAACTTGGATTAAATATAGAAAATCTTGAAAAAATTAATTATTTTAATTGCTTTATCTTACTAATTAAATAAATAAATAAATTTGTTATTAACCCTCTTAGGTTAATCAATCATAATTAAATTAAAATTAAAATAAAAAAATATTAAATTGGTAATTTATTATTAATTAGTTCTAATAAATTACTAATAATAATAAAAACAAAATACATAAATCATTCTCTGATTCCACACCTTTCAGGGACGAACCAGAGAAGCTTAGAATTCAAATCGTAAACGAATCGGGTATTACGCTGTTGCCAAGCACCAAGAATATTGAACTGTTTGATAGGGAGTATTGTTAAAGCGAACATCTTCTCTTCCCAGTCAATGAAGAACGAATTCTCAGCCGCCACTACTAAATCACCTCCTTCAAAATGATAAGTCATCAATGGAAACTTGTTGAAATCAATGTCGGGCATGTCGTAACACAGAGTAAGCTTTTCTATACAATCCTTTCTCCGGAACCGTTCAAGACCCAGAACTTCAAAGTAAGCAACGAACTCTGCGTGGATCTTCCAGTAAACTTTACTGTCAATGTAGGTCATAGTAGAGCCGCTGTCGATGACGAAACCACCGGTTCCGCTTCTGGTAAGACTGAAAGTTCCCGGCGGGAAGTTCATCCGCTTGTCGGCGATCGAGATATCCAACAAGTTCAAACCGTAACGACCCGTGTTTTTGTGGGTTATAATCGGAGTTGTTTTTACATCACCTCCTCGGTAGCCGACGTCCAGGCCGAATTTCAGAAGGGTAGGGAGATATCTCCCTTCCGGCGAGACGGTGGGGAAGCAATAAGAGAAGCGGTTCTGGACGAAGATTCCGAGTTGACGTACCAAAGAGTACGGCGTCATATCCATGCCGACAATTCCGGCGACGTTGTTTTCTCCGAACGAGAACTTCCTGTTCTTATGGGAGCAACCCATAAGTACGTTATGGTATTTAATGTCGCTACCTTTAATGTCTTGGAAATTAAAAGTTTCAGTGGAGTAAACGCCTCCCGTCAATTGCCCGCTGAGATAATGGCTGGTGTAGTGGCATTCGCCATCAACGCATGAGCTGCAGAGAGGGTGATTGCAGTTGATTTTTCGGTAAGAAGATGATAAGTTGGGATCGAAAACGCCGTCTTTTTGAGGAAAGCATTCGATGCATGGCTTGCACTGAATCCAAGTAATGCCGGAGCCTGTGTCGAGGACCAGTAAGAGCCGGCGGCCCGGAGTGCCAATGTTTAACTCAAGGTAGTAGACAAACATGTCGGTCAAAACCCACGGCGCTATGAAGTCGGGTTGGAAGTCGGCGCCGCCGGCGTTGGTTTGAGCGTTCATGGAAAGGAGATACGAAGCTCGAGTTTCAGAAAATGTCGTGTAGCGACTTATCCTTTGAAGGAAAGTTAGGTTTCCAGGGTAGAAAGGAGATTTCTAGGGAGTCTCTGTGAAAGAGTTTTAGCGTAAGAGTAGTGCCATTTTTAGGTTCAAGTGGTGAAGCCTCTGTAAAATGAAATTCTGCTGAGGAAACGAGAAGAAGAAAAGTGGCAGCTGAAAGAAAAGCTTGGAGTG